GAAAAGCCATCACTGTGCCGAAATTGGAGGTCACAGGTCAAAGGTCAATGGTCAATGGGGCACAGGGCAGATTTTAGACATTTTCTGAGGACATGGTGTGACGAACGATTGAAAACTTTTTGTTCAGCGGTGACCTAGCATTTTTATGGCTTTATTGAAAGGACCATGAAATGTGGCTTTCCACTGACCGGTGCGAAGAGTAAGTGTCTGATAACATTTGACCCTCAAGAGGAGGGATTTAAACATGGATTTGTTAACTGTTACTGTGTTAGAAAGAATTTGACTGCTGGGTTTGCTAGTAGAATCTATACATGCCTGGATGAGGCTACAATGTCACAGTGAAATTTCAAAAGCTAAATTTGCTTGAAGAAGGTTTATGCTCCTTAAAACTCGTATAATTTCTATGGCATTCTGTACTGTCAGTGTGTTAATATGCCACTGCCAGGTGGCCACTGCCAGTGCAGTGTGGTGGTGATAGTATGGTGTAGTTTTTGCCTGCGTTAAATTAGGTACAGGTGGCAGCTCTCTATTTCAGCCTCTAGACTTGTGGTAGGGTAAATGGGCGAGTGCTTACCTATTCTCTCTTGCAAATAGTTGTTACTCATACTACGTACGATGGAAGCTTCCAGCTACCAACGTACGCCGCATCTCGTGGCAACTTTCATAACGATCCCAACGAAACATTTCTTCGAGAGAAGGCTCCTGTTACCATCGCAGTGTTGAAATAAGGGCTCTCCCTTGGTTGCGTACGTTGTCCATTTCCACGGAGGACAAGTAGATCTGTCAGGTAGCTTGTCTGCTGGACAAACAGCTTTTTAGAGCAATTTTTCACAATTTTCTAACCATCGCTGGCCGCTGCTGGAAACCCGAGTTAACATAGTATAACATGGGCTGCCGGAGTGCCACCGAATGAACATATACTATAGTATAAACATATAGTGAAGTATATAAAAACGTTTACGCCTTGCTAGGCTCCACGAAACGGTCCTTGCTAGGGTTAGAAGACCATCAGACAATCAGTCTGATAGACAGATCAGTCATACAAGGCCTCGTCCGGCCAGCGCTACCACCTCGAGAAAGAGAGAAATTGAGAGAGAGGGGAGAGAGAGAACGAGGGAGAGATGTGAGAGAGAGAGAGAGCGTGAGAGAGAGAAGAGAGAGAGAGAGAGAGAGAGAGAGAGAGAGAGAGAGAGAGAGAAGAGAGAGAGAGGAAGAGAGAGAGAGAGATAGGAGAGAGAGAGAGAGAGAGAGAGAGAGAGAGAGAGAGAGAGAGAGAGAGAGAGGGGAAGAGAGGAGCGAGAAGAGAGAGAGAGAGAGAAAGAGAAGAAGAGCGCGCGAAAGAGTGAGAGAGCGAGAGAGAAGAGCGCGCGAAAAGAGTGAGAGAGAAAGAGAGAGAGAGAGAGAGAGAGAGAGAGAGAGAGAGAGAGAGAGAGAGAGAGAGAGGGAGAGAAAGAGAGAGATAGACAAAGAACAAGAAAGAGAGAGAGCAACGAGGGAGAGGTGAGTGTGAGCGAGCGAGAGAGAGAGAGGGAGAGAGAGAGCGTGAAGGGAACAGAGAGAGCAAGAGAGAGAGAGAGAGAGAGAGAGAGAGAGAGAGAGAGAGAGAGAGAGAGAAGAGAGAGAAGAGAGAGAGAGAGAGAGTGTGTGATCGAGCGAGAGCGAGAGAGAGCGAGAGTGTGATCGAGTGAGAGAGAGAGGGAGAGAGAGAGCGCGAAGGGAAGAGATAGCAAGAGCGAGAGAGCGAAAGAGAAAGAATGAGAGACCACGAGGGAGAGCGAACGCGGCGATGGGAGGGTGCTCTTGATTCGTTTGCCCCTGAGTTTAGCATCAGAACACCTGCCGTCAGATGAGCGCTGTCGCTCTACGGCACTTGTTATGTTGTAGTTTTTTCACCATTTGGTCAAGTGGTCACACATTAAAGACAGACGGTTTAGCTGACTGCTATTTATGAATACTGGATGTTCCATGTTATTTTTGAAGAGGCAGTACATATACTCTTCGTTTCTATAATGTACGTCGATGGTTGCACAATTAAAACTGACTTCTTCTCACTCACTCATTTGTGTCCTTTTTTGTGGAGAGCTACAGTGTCATTGACACTTTCATTGATATTTACCACGTGGCATTTGAATTGTATCACCTGTTTTCTGTTCACGATGTGTGCCAACTTGTGGAATTGCAGATGAATTGGATAAAACTAAACTAAAAGCCTAAAATTTAAAAAGGAGATAGTAGAGAGTAGAGTGGTATTGCATTCTAATTTAGGACACAGATTTTACTAATAACTTCAGAATTCAGTTAGGGTTAGGTTAAGAGTCAGATATTAAATAAGGGTTAGTTTTATGGATGGAGTGTTGGTGATTATGATTTGTATGCCAGTGTCCCTCAATGTCGGATTTGGCGCAGTATGAGTATGCGCAGCCAGGTAGGAACCGTGTGCGATAGGCATTGTGATCTCTACCGCTTGGAAAACGTGTGAATCATCATTAGACGATGCTATTTTCTTAAAACAAGCAAATGTGCACATGTAAAATTAACGAATTCTCGTCACAGTTTGAATTTTTAAGCATAGCAGTGATGGTTTAATCAGGTTAAAAATACGAATAGGATAAATCTATGCTGTGATTAATGAAATGACCAATTCTATGTTTGGAAAACCACAATGATCTGACAGTGAGGATTACTGTATATTGTGAATTTTAAATTTTTCCAATTTAATCAGAATGAAAATATTATTGTTGACAGCATGCATTAAATGCATACTATGAAGAGCTTGCCTCTACAAGTAAAAAGCCATCTGATCAGGCTCAGGGTGCAAGTGAGCAATTGATAGAAAAAGACGAGCCACAACAGAAAAAATTCTGCTCAAGAAACACAGAAGGCAGAACAATGAATCCATCAACATCAACAGAGTCTAGGTTAGCACCAAACATGCTATGCTATAATTAAAATGAAGAGGAGTTATCCTAGCATAGATTTATATGATAAAATTCCATCAGTAGACATCATTTAAGAAATAGGAGGAATACCTTGCATGTAAGGTCCCCGCTGCATATACCAGCCAGTACACAATCTGGCTATGTTAGTGTGTTAGCGCATGCACAATATCTCACCAGAGGAGATTTAATTAACAAACTGTTGATTTTCTGTTATTAATGTTCTTTAATTCTTGTCTTCTTTGGAGATAATATCATTATGATTCTTGCATTTTGGGCTTTCATATACTTTGCTTTTCGACTTTCGGATTGCAGATTGATTAAGTGATGTAAGTTTACTATATAATGGTGCATCTTCTTTCAGTACTGCATCATCATCAGTACCAGAGCAACCAAAAAGACTAAAACTGATATCATGGAATATTGATGGGCTTGACACAAATAACATTAAGAATAGAACTAAAGGTGTTCAAAGGGTTATTGCAAAGTATGTACATAATCACCTTTATAATAACAATACTGGCATGTCACATTAAATCTCATAATAATAATTATGAATATTGTAGTAATCATAATAATGGAAATTTTGTTAAAAAAAATGTATTCTTAACCATGTTTTTGATTTTAGTGAAAAGCCAGACATAGTTTTCTTCCAAGAGGTGATACCCAAGTCCTTTGCTTATCTAGAAGGAGTGTTTGATGAAACGTATGAGTGCATCGCAGGTGGTGACACTGGGTACTTCACTGCTGCCTTGGTAATTAGTCACTGCAATAAGTAAATACCAATATATGCAAAACCTAGATATAATGTATACCTTATATACCTTATATATTCCTATTTAATAAAATATTAAACTTTACAGTGAACCTGTGAATGATTGAAACCTGATGCACTGTGTTGGAATTTCATAGTATGGCTGTTTTTTTCTTCTGGAAATCATTACTTTTGTTACGTATTCACGTACCTCATCAGTGTTTAGTTGTTCAAGCAATAATTTTGTGCTATTGTCTCATGTTCTTTGTGCAGGTTAAGAAAGCAACAGTGAAACTACATGACTTCTATTTAGAACCATTCTATTCCAGCAAAATGGGAAGAAATCTTCTTATACTTCAGGTAGTGGCTGTAATTCAATTAATTATCATTATTGAATATATATTTGATTATACCGTAGAATTATTGTTATTAAATCAGAATTTCCCTTGTTTATTGATGTCACACTCCTTCCCTATTATCTACTCCTGATATTTATTAATGTAGAGAATGCATCAAACAGAACGGGAAGAATGTGCAGGAAACATAGAAGAATATAAACAAACGCAAGAGTGGAGTTTTCTCTAATATGAAATAGAATATCATCAGTTATAATATAAAAGGTATGCAGCCGGCGCGGCGCGGCGCGGCGCGGCGCGGCCGGCAGCAGGAGCGTGTCAGATTTTAGCAAGGCGCGCCCAGCGACACACAGACAACTGGAACAATGGGCGTTCGCGTGGGTTCTATCATATCTTGGTTGTATATACCGCGCAGGCTATCACCACTGTATGCACCACCCCCTTACGCGCCCTCAGCGACACTCAGACGTGCGCAGCCAGCGGGAGCTGGAAGAGGGGGCGGGGGCAAATTCATATACATCACCAGATGGCCGCGAGAGGGCAGTAGGGAACAGTCAACATCAGTGGCGCACTATTTCTTATTTCATTTATGACTTTCCAAAAAACCAACGAATATCAACGGATTTCCAGGTAATTTACGGCGGAGCAAGTAGTATCAGTCCGTAAATGGCGCGCGCAAATACGCAGATAGATTTGAGGGCCGTAGCACAGGAAGATCACGGGAAATTATCGCGCGTAGAAATGGTGAGAAACAGTCGGAAACGGGCGAGTAGTGTCACTTAAACACAGTTTTTTCCACACTTCCTGTGAACTGACATAGTTTCTCGATCGAAATGAACAAACAACACCTTCAAGAACACCACTGTCGATTTTAAATGGGCTACCCACACATTGACGAAAATGACATAGGTCTCAATCTGGACATCATCTCTATCCTTGAACCAGAATATTTACCAGCTGTAGAGTCAACATTCTCCCAAGCAGCTGCTCCACCTAGAACATCATCCACCTCCTTTAGCTTAGGATACTTCCTGTTGGTAATCTATACAAGACAAGAAAATCAACGTTTGTCTATGTAATCACGTAAATGTTGCAGTGACATGCCAGTTGTCAAATAACACGAGCTTCTATTAATATTATTAAGTTTAAAAAGTTTAAGATTCTAATGTCAGAAAAGAGCCCAACTTAATTTTTGCATTAAATTTTTTAAATTGTTTTCGGCGTGCGACATAGATAGTTAGAGACTTCGATTTGTTATTGATAATATATACGGTACCTTTCGCGTTACATTGTGAACATAAGGGCACGTATTGCAAGCAAATCTGTAACACTTCGGACCTTCTTCTACTGTTAATAAATTCGCGCAAACAGGGCAAAACATCAACATTATCACGAAATCATGCCGCACAGAAAACTGATGCTCAACTGTTTACGTTGATTTATAGACTGTATATATAAAGTCGATCTCTACATTAACTAAAGTATAGAAGCCGGTGTAGGGACGTGGTGACCGTCTACGTGGTGTTATTGCATCGAAAGTTCACAATATTTGGTGCATGTTCGAGTGCAACTGGGTTTCCGTAACCTGTGCGGTTTGAGGCGACAAACATGAATCGTAATAATATTGTTAATTCTGATAATAGTATTACTATTACTACTGAGAATTCAGATGCTGAGTCTGATTCTGGGGTACCGGAGGTGCAAGTGTGCCAGAAACTTGTGAACGAATTTACAGAAATAACCACGACAAATGCAGCATTAGCACAGTTCTACCTACAGAGAAGAAATTGGGAACTAGATGTAAGTGTAGACTGACCCTAGGGGTGGTCACCAGTGAGTATGCGCACGATGGTGCATTTTTATATTAAATGTGGGATCATTTCTCGCTCCCTTACGAGGACGGCGATTGCGCGGGTGTCAGTAATTAATTATTCACGCTCTTCTACTCCAACACCGACAATGACAACGACAGGCAGAAAGATTCCAGAACCAATAACTGAAGCGGTAACTTGTTTAGTCTAGCTAAACTTTTATTATGAACAAAATATATATATAGGTCTTTTACCTATCGCACGTAAACATAAACAGTACTCGTATAAACAACCTTTTAAGAGGTAGGTGCTCAACTCGTAATCTTATACTGTGACCTATCAGTAGTGCTCCGAATTTCGGTGCATCACAGATGTAGCATTATGACGGGTAAATACTAACTGCTCTGAATCTCGGCGCATTATCTCCGTCTCCGAATATAGTAATAGTAACCTACGGAACAGAGCTGCTCCGAATCTCGGCGCACAATCCCGGTGTCCGATATACGTAACCTACGGAACAGAGCTGCTCTGAATCTTGGCGGCAACATCTCCATCTCCGAATAACGTAACCTATGGGAACAGAGCTGCTCCGAATCTCGCGGCATTATCTCCGTCTCCGAATATAGTAACCTACGGGAACAGAGCTGCTCCGAATCTCGGCGCACAATCCCCGTCTCCGAATATACGTAACCTACGGGAACAGAGCTGCTCTGAATCTTGGCGCACAATCTCCATCTCCGAATACACGTAACCTACGGGAACAGAGCTGCTCCGAATCTCGGCGCACAATCTCCATCTCCGAATATACGTAACCTACGGGAACAGAGCTGCTCCGAATCTCGCGCACAATCTCCGTCTCCGATATACGTAACCTACGGGAACAGAGCTGCTCCGAATTCGGCGGCACAATCTCCGTCTCCGAAAATATACGTAATCAACGGGACAGAGACGCTCCGAATCTCGGCGCACAATCTCCGTCCCGAATATACGTAACCTACGGGTACACGAGCTGCTCCGAATCTCGCGGCACAATCTCCGTCTCCGAATATACGTAACCTACGGGAACAGAGCTGCTCCGAATCTCGGCACACAATCTCTGTCTCCGAAGTGCTTACTCTGATCCGAAAGGATAAGTCCTGGTTTCCTTCCTGTCCTAGTCTGAGGTCCTAGTGAACCAGCCTGGTGACTGACTGACTTTACCATTGGAACTTGGCTGCTTATATAGGAGCCCGAGGTGACGCCGGATCCAGCGGCGGCTCCCTGTCCCTGTGCCTCGGTGGCCTGGCCGTTGTACCCCCTCGCTTAACACGTGTAGCAGGTGATGCCAACCCCCTTGGTCGCAGTATATGCCTGAGCGTTACACCCCCTGTCTGCAACGTGGTTCGGCTCGCGCCGCTCTCGCCGGCGCGTGTACGTGAGGGCGCAACTCTCTGACCTCCCATATCTGGTAGCTATTTTCTTTATGTAAATCTATCAAAGCTATTTTTATAGCAGCCGAGAAATATAGCATATCACATGTTGAATTTCTAGGCGTACTATAATGACAAATAGCATTAGTTATCACACCATTCTAATAACTTTTTATAATAATTATATATGAGAGCCTTTGTTTAACAAGGTGGCTGCCTCCATACCCGTCACTGAGTCATAATACAGTCGGCAGTGAAATAACTATAATTCGTTCATTCATTATAATAATTCATTTTTTTGTTTATAAATTATTTATAATTTATATATAATATTATTTATTATTTTCACATAAAAAATTACACATAATTACAAGATTATATAATGGGAGTTCTCCATTATATACTGTGCTGTTACAGGTTTACCCTGTATGTTATTACCGTATGCCCTTGACCCTTAAACTACGTGAAGGCTCTTGTGTTTTTGCTATTGGCCATTTTTGTTCGTGATTTAGCTTGGTCGGCTGATTCTCTATGTAAAGCTTGGTTTACCACAATGATAAGTACGTCAGATGAGTCATATTGTGGACAGAAGCTGTCTCATAAAGACACTGCTTATTTATGTAGCGCAGGTACACTACTGTTTTGGGCAAGTTTTTTACAGTCCATATCGATGCACACTGAAGTTCGTTTTATGTGCAAGTATCTGAAGCATGTCCGCCCATCTGTGACAGTATTCTCTATTTTTTAGCTGTCGTCTGACATAGTCAGATGCAGCTTGTAGAATGCGCATGATCGTACGCGTCGCGTGCGAGCGTCCGTGCGTCCGTCAACAGTTTGGGCACAAATCTAAACGGCTCGACGTACGGATTCGAAAGTTGGGACGTGGGGGGTAATCCGAAAACGAGTTGGGATGTTGAAGCTGGGGTTTAAAGTCTAAAGGTCAAGAGGTGTAAAAGAAGGGGGAATATTCGCCTCCTTTAACTTAAGGTATAGGGAGGAAATGCAGAATTGCGGCCACAAATCTAAACGGCTCGACTAGGCTCGTGATAGTCGGTGTATAGCATCATGGTAGGAAAGCCATCACTGTCCGAAATTGAGGAAGGTCAAAGGTCAATGGTCAATGGGGCACAGGGCAGATTTTAGACATTTTTCTGAGGACATGGTGTGACGAACGGATTGAAAATTTTTGTTTCAGCGGTGACCTAGCATTTTTATGGCTTTATTGAAGGACGCATGAAATGTGCTTTCCACTGACGGTGCGAAGAGTAAGTGTCTGATAACATTTGACCCTCAAGAGGAGGGATTTAAACATGGATTTGTTAACTGTTACTGTGTTAGAAAGAATTTGACTGCTGGGTTTGCTAGTAGAATCTATACATGCCTGGATGAGGCTACAATGTCACAGTGAAATTTCAAAAGCTAAATTTGCTTGAAGAAGGTTTATGCTCCTTAAATCGTATAATTTCTATGGCATTCTGTACTGTCTCAGTGTGTTAATATGCCACTGCCAGTTGGCCACTGCCAGTGCATGTGGTGGTGATAGTATGGTGTAGTTTTTGCCTGCGTTAAATTAGGTACAGGTGGCAGCTCTCTATTTCAGCCTCTAGACTTGTGTAGGTAAATGGGCGAGTGCTTACCTATTCTCTCTTGCAAATAGTTGTTACTATACTACGTACGATGGAAGCTTCCAGCTACCAACGTACGCGCCATCTCGTGGCAACTTTCATAACGATCCCAACGAACATTTCTTCGAGAAGGCTCCTGTTACCATCGCAGTGTTTGAAATAAGGGCTCTCCGTTTGTTCGTACTTGTCCATTTCCACGGAGGACAAGTAGATCTGTCAGGTAGCTTGTCTGCTGGACAAACAGCTTTTTAGAGCAATTTTTCACAATTTTCTACGCATCGCTGGCCGCTGCTGGAAACACCGAGTTAACATAGTATAACATGGGCTGCCGGAGTGGCCACCGAATGGAAGCATATACTATAGTATAAACATATATGTGAAGTATATAAAAACGTTACGCTTGCTTAGCTCCACGAAACGCGTTCTTGCTAGGGTTAGAAGACCATCAGACAATCAGTCTGATAGACGCAATCAGTCATACAGGCCTCGTCCGGCAGCGCTACCACCTCGAGAAAGAGAGAAATTGAGAGAGAGGGGAGAGAGAGAACGAGGGAAGAGAGTGAGAGAGAGAGAGCGTGAGAGAGAGAAGAGAGAGAGAGAGAGAGAGAGAGAGAGAGAGAGAGAGAGAGAGAAGAGAGAGAGAGGAAGAGAGAGAGAGAGATAGTGAGAGAGAGAGAGAGAGAGAGAGAGAAGAGAGAGAGAGAGAGAGAGAGAGAGGGGAAGAGAGAGCGACGAAGAGAGAGAGAGAGAGAAAGAGAAAAGAGCGCGCGAAAGAGTGAGAGAGCGAGAGAGAGAGAGCGCGCGAAAAGAGTGAGAGAGAAAGAGAGAGAGAGAGAGAGAGAGAGAGAGAGAGAGAGAGAGAGAGAGAGAGAGAGGGGAGAGAAAGAGAGAGATAGACAAAGACAAAGAAAGAGAGAGACAACGAGGGAGAGTGAGTGTGAGCGGCGAGAGAGAGAGAGGGAGAGAGAGAGCGTGAAGGGAAAGAGAGAGCAAGGAGAGAGAGAGAGAGAGAGAGAGAGAGAGAGAGAGAGAGAGAGAGAGAAGAGAGAGAAGAGAGAGAGAGAGAGAGTGTGTGATCGAGGCGGAGAGCGAGAGAGAGCGAGAGTGTGATCGAGTTGAGAGAGAGAGGGAGAGAGAGAGCGCGAAGGGAAGAGATAGCAAGAGCGAGAGAGCGAAAGAGAAGAATGAGAGACCACG